TGCAGCCGCGGCGATCGCGCAACGGCAGCCGGTGGTAGGAGCCATTGCGACATTAATCGCACTAGCAGAAGCTGTCAAATGCTATATCCCGCAATTTCATCATTCTGCACCAGCAGCAGTAAACAACCTCGCCATGCACACTCTGAACGCACCACCGCAGCAACATCCGACGAAGATGGTTTCACTCGTAAAAAGCATAAGTGGTGATTTCGTCAAGTACGGCGGCGTTAGGAGCAGGATAACATAGAGGCGGCAATGGCGGGGAGGTTGATAGTTTCCATGTGTGTGCTTGTAGATTCAGATCTACGAATGAAATGGACTAGGTGGCAGTGGACCTGCCACAAGATAAGGAGCACTTGACTCCTTACTGCATGCTCCTTTACAAGTCTTGTCACAATCTTTAAATTTTGAAATATAATTCAAAATTTTTCATCTTCTCGTACCAGACCTTACTTTCCCCAAGATCCTTCTTTGATCATTCTCTGCCCTTCTTGCATACTGTTCTGGCCTCCATTTGTAGTTCTGCCCTATGTCCCAGCTCTTTTCACATGGCCATCTTGTGTAGCACCTAACAGATTGAGCTCTCCTCTATGAGTTACCGGTATGAGTACGCTGAGCAAGTCCTATTCTGCGTGTTCTCCCCTGAGCACGATGTGATCCAGTTCCACCTAACCCCCGCCACTTTAAATCCCCCCACTTTCACCAATAAAGTGCATCCAATCCAAGGGCAACTAAGTATTCCTGACCCATCTGATGCATTGATAAACATTTCATTACTACTGTACTGTGTGCATGGATTTTTTCCAGAAAAGGATTGCCAATGTGCTTTGACACATGGCAGGAACGTTTATGATTCTGACTACCACACAACCCCATGGTTGGGGTGCTGCCAGATGTGGATTTAGTGAAATTGACAGTGGTTCGGCCCCTGACAGTTTTTCTCCTGCCGGACCTGTGATTTCGCATTTTGATCCTGAAAACAACAAATCAAACAACCTCCTTGTCCATAGAGTGCCTGTTTTTAAACAGTGACACATCTTTATGCGCTTTTCATTCACATCCACATCCACGTCTCACTCTTCATCATGCAACGCGAGTAGCACCAAGCGGGTTTTCTGACTCTCATTCCGCTCTGTCCACAAGATCCTTCCTGTGGCCTTGGAAAAAGAGGTCCGCACGGTAAACGTGGGTTGCATGTTTGTGTCAATTGCACTCCATTGAAGCTGTGAGGCTTCAACCTGGCGACACAAGTTATCAGGAGGTCGAAAGTGCAATGGCATCAGGGGGTGCATCTGAAGGGCACATGGTTCTAATGGTGGGTCGCATTCTGAAATGCTTCGTTGTGGTGGTAGCTGCAAACCCAGCCTTGATGCTACCAATTGTAGGTTCCGTCCCTTCACATCCAGTGCTCCATTCTCCGCGGCTTCACCGATGGATGGTGAAGGGACCACGTCGCATCCGCCGCCACTGATATGTTTGTCGAATGCACTTGGGCTGGACGAGTACTCAGAAGAGTAATCACCATTGTCATCATCTTTAAGCGGTCCTTGCGTGCGACCTCCATTACACGTTGAGCCAACAGTTTGAAAATCATCTTCTTTATTGAGGAAAGGATGGAGCTTTTCAGACTCTGCTACGATGCTTCGGTCATTGTCGTAGCCTGCAAAGATTACTGCACATGGTTATGATATAATGTGTTTTAAGGGAGAAAACAGTGTAAGATAAGAAGCCATACCAGAATAAGATAGTGGTGCATTGGTGCTCGAGTTTGCCTCCAAAATACGAGGGCTGGATCTTCAATCAGGGCATTTAGAAAGAGGAAAAATAACTTGGTTGAGCAACATACAGACCTTGGTTGGTCTTCTTACTGGAATGTGTCATCTTGTAGATCTCGAAGCCATTCCAATGCATCCTCCTCCTTCATGCTTGCCTTCCAGCATCCTGTAACGTCTCTAGACCTGAACAAAGGGTAATGTCAAGCGGGTTAAAAGAACGCAATGCAACCATAGTGAATGCACTCCAACTTACCTCAGAAAACAATTCCCCCCCGAACGAACTGTCGTAGGAAGACTGCTTGGGTTTCTATTGTCTTCTTCGTCATTACCCATCCATCCATAAAATCTTTTGGTTGATTGGTTGCACAGTTCTGGCGAGTCCAGAAAGAGTGACTGCTTTGACGGCTTCTGGACTTCCACTGGGGACAAGTTATTCCATGGTTCGGAAAATCCCATTGGGGAATCGTTCCATGGCTTTTCCTGTGATTCTACGCCATAAGTTTGTACGTGAACTTTAAAGTTCTCAAAGAATGGAGACTTAGGGGAACGCTGGTTCACCCCTATCGCTTGTGTATCTCCTGGAGATGGAGAACAGCACTTCTCTCTCAGCTCAGTTTGCGTATTGCCAAGTGGAAACTCCACTGCACAGGGATGTGAACATCATTAGAATCCTAGGCCATGAGAACAAAAAGACTATGAGAAGGGACCTGCCTTTTTCTTCGAGCATTCTGTACTTTGGCGAAGGCAAGGATTGATCCCATTCGTTGTGCTGTGTTGCATAATCGAACACAATTTCCTGCTCACAGAGAACCAAGGTCAGTGCTGCTCACTAAACATGCTGCTCGATTATTGTTGATGTTACCTCCTCATGTCCCACGTCATTCTTCAGCTTCACTGGCGTTGACTTCAATTCAAAAAAGCGCCTGATCACATGTTCAGCGTTGTTCAGCAGGCAGCTAGCAACTTACCGAGCTTCCCGGAACCTTTTTCTATTGCGTTAATACCTTGGTGGAGTATGGTTTCGTGGGGATTGTGGAGGCGTCCTCCCATCTAGCGCTCCGGCACCATCCATTGTGAATGAAACATATGGTTCTGATGGGAGCTCATGACCGACCTTCGACTTATCTTGTGCTTCCAGGAGCTTCACAAGGGAAAAACCGCCTTCAAACACCAGCCATTGGTTTCAGAGAAAGTTCGAACATCATGAACGGAATCAGAATAGAACTTGAAGCAAACCTGGAAGGAGGCTGTGCTCGCGAGAAGGGCGTGGTGAATCATTCGGACATTCCTTTGGCCGTAGTCGAAGCTTCTCGGGTGACGCAAGTTCAGTGTGATCCAGTCTTCTTTCGCGTGGCCGAGCAGGTTCCAGACGTGAAAGAGTTGACACCGGTTGATTGCGTTTTTCGCAAATGTTGGACGGATCATCTTTTTCAATTTGAAAAGGGTTATGATTCGGCTCGTCATCGCCTTCACGAGCACTGGAAAATGTGGTTTGAGAATGAACCATGTATACAAGCAAAAGCGTCTTCTTCCGTGCTTACCGGTTAGTTCGACCTGTTTAAAAGAGATGAGAAAAGGAAACGAAAACCAGCGTTTGAAAAGAGCCTCTGAGAACAAATTTAAAACAGTCCTTCTCTAGAATGTTGTAAGGTACAATTACCTTGGGGAGAATCAGGACACTCTTGCGGAGAGTTTCCAATATAAGCAAGCGCTTGCAGACTGATAATGTCGAGAGACATTCCTGGAATCTCAGGAGGACGAGAAAGTGGTTGCCTTCCTTCAAATGATTGCTGACGCTGATGCTCAAAGAACTGTCGTTGTCTGCAAAGGAAATGAACGATTAGCATGCGAGGCATGCGGTCCAACGACGCTACCATGGAGACATGGATTACCTCTTAATCTGAACCTGACGAGATTTCTGCACATACAAAGAGCAGGTTAAATGGAATACGGATAAGAAACAGGAAATCCCGATGGTCTTCTTTACCTCCTTCACCTTCCGCCGCAACCCCCCCGTCCATTGAAGCATGATGAGGTGAAGTAGTTACGAGTCAATAACTTGAATGGCTGCTTGCTTGTCAGTTGGTGAAAGCTGAATGGGTGCTACGGGAGGAATGTTAGAATGTTAGAAGAATGTTACATATAGATCGTAATCCATTACAAGACTAACAAAGCGAAAAGAGAATGGCTAAGCTAGCCAACCTCCAAGGAAGGATGTGCGAAGAAAACGGGAGGAATGTGATGCCAGATTGGCCAACGCGACTTGGTGCAAATCGATTTTGGGAAGAGGACCGAAAAGGGCCCAAAAGGAGCAAGGTGTAGAGGTGGCGTACAAATACACCCACATCACAAACTACTGTACTTCATGCTGAATGAGATGTCATAGTACTCTGCTCTGCTAATCATAATCACTCTGATAGCTTCAACATTTCGTACAAATATGTAAAAATATTTTGAGTCTCATAATACCACAGAATCTGATATTCTCATGAAGAACAAGCGAACTATATACATTTAAATGGCTATCACAGCTTTTATCTTGTCTGTTTTTTGACATTTATTATATAAATGGCAGGATGCGTGAGATATACAAGTCAAGGTAAAGTTGCATATAAAATAAGTATTTCGCACAGATAAACCAGCTGTACAGGATTAGAGATATTCGTATGAATAGATTGCACCCTTACCTCCACAGCTCACTCACCTCTGATCCAGGCTGCTCTAACCAAGGCGGTCCTGCTTTGCATTGCAACCAAGTTGATTGAAGCAGAGGCAGATGCATCGTGGTCGTGTAGTGGCCTGCTTGAGTTGATAGTCGCTGGCAGCCATCGTATGTGCACTATTGCCTCGCGGACTGCCTGTATTCGCAGGACTGGACAAAGCCTTGCAGTAATTTTCGTTCTGTCATAACTATCTTGTTGGTCGACCCCACCGCGCCGTACTATGCACCAAGTCAAGCATGGCGGACGTTGTTCCAGCTGGTTTGGCTGATGCGAATCTACCGCGCTGCTCTTTCCTACGAGCCGTAGTTGATCCCCCTGTTTGTGCAAGTTCTGGCTGAGCGCTAGCCCTTATCCACGGGATCACGAGATTCCTTGGTTTCATGCTTCTGGACTGATACCAACTAATCCCATAGCTATTAAGCGCTCGACCTTCAACTTTTAAGAGGACAACGAAAGTAGAGCTACGGTAAATTAAGGCCGGGACAGAGACAATAGCGCCGCGATGGAGTGGCGGACGCTGCGGCATCTGGAAGTGGGCGCACACGCGCAAGCCGCTGCCTTCCATCCAACGCAACCCCTGGTGTCCGTTTCCGTTGGACGCTCGATCATAGGTAGCGGGGCCAACCTCGTCCCAAAATGGTTTTCTGCTACTCCCTTCCGCTGAATTTCAACCATTCACCGGAATCCCGATTCCTGACCATAGCACTATAGCTGCCAGGTCTCCTTCATACACCTTGTTTATCGTTCGTTCAGTCTGTGTTCCACTCCCTTCCCCATCCCTCTCCCCGTCGCTCATGCTTCCGCCGTGTGGCCAGAGTACGATCTGCTGACGGGATGCCAGCTGGCAAAGATGGACATTGGAGGGCCCGTGGTGCGCATGGGGTACGCGCCCGCTGCCGGCCACGTCATCGTGGCGGTGATGGAGGTGCGATGGGGAAGAGGAGGGGGGGCGAGCTGTCCAGTGATGTACGGTGCACTTGCTTCCAGGAATGTCATGGAACTGGCCTACTTGGGCTGGAGGGCCTTAAATTATACGGGGACATGGTCTCTTCTGCACTCCATAGGTCTTGGTTCTTCCGTATTTGCTAATACGTTGTTGAATCAGCCACTGTTTCAGCATTTGCTTTAGCACCTGGAGCCACCTGTCTCTCCTCCCTTCCATCACTCCACAAACACAAATCCCCACTGGATCAAACCCTTTCTCATTTGCCTCCGTATCCGTGCTTTGACTCGTGCCCCTCATGTGATGCACGGGAACCAGGACCACACCATCAGGTGCTGGGACCACGACAGCGAGCTCACAGCCATTCTCTTCACCCCTCCTGACCGCCGTGGCGACAAGCCCGCCGAAGTGCACCTGGCGATATGCGCCCACCGCCCCTGGGCCTTCTTTGCCGCGCACAGACGCACCTCCATACATGGTCAGCCCCCCCCTGCCTCTTCCCCCTGCTGCCCGCCTGCATGTCCTCCACCTTGCTGTCGGCCTGCGTGTCCTGATTTAGCTGGTGGTTTGCGAAAGGTGCCTCATTATTCCATGATCTTTAGAGGACCCATAGCACGTCAGGGACAGTACACTCAGTCAACCAGATAGGTCGAATCAGCTTCTGTATCCGCGGTGCGTGCATGTGTGCAGTGGTGGGTGTGCTGGAGGGCATTCGGCCAGCCTCGAAGCTGAAGGCGGAGTTCAAGAAGCCCATCACTGCCCTCGCATGCCATCCGCGCCACCCTGTGCTCGTGAGAACCACACCAGCCACTGTCAAACGAAGATCGGGAAGGGCACAGGACAGTAGATGCATGAAGGATTAGCAATCTGGGTTGTCTTATTTTGTTTATTTTGCTAAACTTGTTACATTGAGATGCCATTCATCCCTGTGTCACTCATTCTAAACCACCCTCACCTGTTTGTTCTCCTCCCTATGTATCTGCTCCTTCCTGTGCATACATCGTGCATGTGTGCAAATCAGTTTGTGGCGTACGCAGAGGGCGTCATCCGGGCCCACCATGTCACCTCCTTCAACCTGCTCTACACCCTCTCTTGTCAGACATGTCCCTTGCCGTTTGCTCCCGCCCATCGTCCCACTCGCATTCCTTGCTGTGTGTCTCGCCTCGCATCGAACCAGTATCCCCATGTATCCACCCTCCTTTCCGTGCTAATTTTCCCCACATGCACCATATCCTTTTTAAGAGAGCACCGCTGACTCTGCTGCTTTCTGTATACCCTTGCGGCCTGTGCTGCAGTGGACGACCCGTCAGTGAAGCTGATGGGGGCAGCAGCCATGGTGTGCCATCACCTGCTGGACCATATCTTTGTGGGTGATCGCTCGGGCTCACTGCTCGCATGGGATGTCTCTGTGCCTGCTCGACCCAATCTCATTGGATTGTAAGCACACCCCTTGCACCCCCTCCCTCCACACATTTTCGTAGTTTCTGTGCTCTGCTCTCTGCTTTCTGCAACACATCCGCGCTGCGTTTCGCCTTTTGCTTGCTGTGTTCTGCGGATGGCATTGATTTATGGTGTGCTGCGCATGGGTTGTGCAGTTTGCAGGTGGCGGTGGTGGCAGTGATGGCGTGTGTGTGGCATGCACCGTTGGAGTTGCTGCTGGTGCTCACGCGTGATGGCACCGTCAAGGCCTACTCCCCCCACATTCACCACAACCCCGCTCTCTCCCTCGCCTCCAACTCACACTTCTTTCACGAATACGGTACGCTGCACCACCACTGCCTCTCTCATTTCAGCGCCTCAAAAACCCTCACAAGCACCGCATGCCTTTGTTCCCTTGCACCACTACGACGACCTCCTCTGCCCTCCTCCCTCCCTTCACCACTTCGTTCTCCATCTGGGTGCCCTGCAAACCCTTAATCCTCTGAGTCCTCCTCATCCCTTCCCACCCCGTCTCCTGTGCATGGCGTGTGGGGGCCGCGTTTTGTGTGTGCGGGCAACAGAGGCGGTGGAGGTGGATGTGGAGCGGCTGCTGGTGCAGGCAGGCGGCCAGTCCGTGGTGCCTGTGCCTCGCATCCGCACCCTGCACGTGCACCCCACGCTCAACTTCCTCCTCCTGCTCTTTCTCGTATGCACCCTCTCTTTTCCTGCAACGCTCAGTGCCCTTGATTGCTCTTACCTTTTAACACAAGTCATGTGTTTTCTGGTGTTGTCCGTTTCATTTCTGTTTGTCCATCTGTAATCATTTGGTGCATGGGTATCTGAGTGGGATTACAATGATGTTGCTGTGGTTACAAACTTGAGCGCTTGCCCCTGTGCACATCTTGTTGGGGATGTGGGTGTGTACCTGTGTGTGCTGTGTATGCCATGTGTGTGGCAACAGAGGGAGGGGGCAGCGGAGGACGTGGTGCGGAAGAGGGAGCAGAATCGCAGCAAGGCCAGTCGCAGGGCGCTGCTGGACATGCTGCAGTCGGCCAGGGGTGCTCCAGACCCGGGTGAGGCCACAGACAGGGGGCACGTCCGCCAATGCCAAGGGGCGTGGGGAAGTCGTATGGAGCAAGTATGGAGAAGTTTTAGAGGGGGGAGAGGGAGGAAATTAGGGTTATGGGACGCATGGAATATGAGAGGCAATAGAACGATTCGGTATGATATATATTTTTGTGCGGAGGACTGGGCATGAGCAGAGGGCTGAGGCGAGCCACCTTGTCTCGAGCCGCAACGAGCCTGTGGGCTGATGATCCGAGGCAGCTGACCCGACTCATGGCTCATCCGCTGTAGGCGAGGTGAGCTGGTGGACCCAAGACGAGCTGATGCAGCCTGTGGCCATCTGCCAGATCCGAACGGATTTGGCATCTCTCGCTGGATGTGTGCAGATCTGGCAACCTGCTGCCAGATTCATGCGCAGAATTGGTGTGACTGTTTGACTTGTGCTCACGAGTTGCTCACGCCCTTCTGAGCCGATTCGGCTCGACTTGAGTTGAAGTGACTTGGCAGATTCGTCAGCTCGGGTCGCCTATCTGACAAGCGGAGCCAACGATTTGTGCTATTGTCGCGGACCCATGCTAGTGTGTAACATTGCTTCCCTGCTCTCGCCTGTGTGTGCCTTGTACCTTGCAGCGAGCCAGCGTGATAAGCTATCATCATTGGGGCCGTCAGCACTCATGTCCGATCAGCAGCTTCAGGAGCAGCTGGTGCTGACACGCGGCCAAACCAAGTGAGCAACACGGCATGGAACAGCCCTTATGTATACCACATGCTACTGTACTGCACGCCCCACAGTTTCTCCTCCGCTGCTGCCGTTCTGCCACTAGTGACTGTACCTTATCCTATGCTGCTGCCCGCGGTTCGTGACCCATATTGTTCTTGCAAAGCTCGTGGGAGGCATGAAGGATAAACGCTGGCTGGTTCTATGGATTCGGAGGATGATGGCTTCTCGTGCCCGCCCCCCTCCCCCCTTCCACTACCGCAGGCTCGCTCAGCCTACGTTGTTGGATTTTGCACGCAAGGCTTACTTGTATGGGGTGAGTGTTTTACCCTCCACCCTGCTTCTCATCCATTCTACTTACCCTTCATCTACTGCGCATATCCTCTTGACACCCTCTGTCCGACATGTGTGTGTCTCTCTCTCTCCACTTGGCACTACACCGCTGACCACTCCCTGTGTCCCACGCCCTCTGTGTGCGTCAGGCCACCCACGGGGGTTTACTGGACACGGCGGGGCATCTCACCACACTGCCGCTCATCCAGGTGCTCGACCCTCTCGAGCCCGCCAACGACCTGCCCGTCGCCCATGTAAGCCCCCACCCTCGCCCTCTCCCCCACTCTGCCTGCCATTCCAGTGTCACATGTGCTTCTTCCTGTTACCATGCTTTACAAGCATGCCCGTGATTGTGCTTTTTTCTCATCGCACTCAACAATCCTTGCTTTGCCTTGTTCATCTTCCTCCCGTTCCCTCCCCTCCCACTCTCCGCCACCGTGCGTTGTTGCAGCCATTCCACGCGCCACTGCTGTTCTACAACAGCGAGCAGGCCATCTTCCGCTTCCCCTCGCGCATTGCCCTCATGGACGGCTGCTCCATCGTCTCCTTCAGCCTCGCCACTGGGGTGCTCTCCAGCCTCAAGAAACTGCCGCCTGTGGTGCGTGCCTCCGCTCTCTCTATTTCCGTGCGTGGAAGGGGTTAGAGTGGGTGTGTGCGCGCGTGTGCGTTCTGGTATGTGTGTGTAAGCGTAGAAGCGCATGCACTTACCTTCATTCTCCATGTCTTTTTCACTTTAAGCCAACACTTCACACGTGTTCATCACCAATTCATCCTCTTCTCCCCTGCCCCTCCCCCTGACCCCCTTCTTCTCCCTTCCGCACCTTGCACTCTCTTCCCATCCATCCCTCTCTTCTCTCTGCCTACACTCCCCCCCCCACTCCTCCTTTCGCTGGTTCCTCACCATCAACCATACCTTCTCCGATCATCCTCCTGGCCCATCTGTGCGGGCGGCAGGACGGCAAGGGGCAGCAGAGGAGGGCAACGCACATGGTGTACAGCCAGAAGCAGCAGTGCATGCTGGTGTTCTTTGAGGCGGCGCGCACGGCAGGCGGAGGGGGCGTGTCCATGGTGGTGCAGCGCTACCTGGACGTCATGGAACCCCTGGGAGAAGGGCTCGACACACTCACTGGTGGGGCTCTATAACCCGTGCTTGCAAGCCATGAAATTGAACGAGGGGGGAGGGGGAGGGGGAGGGGGAGGGGGAGGGGGAGGGGGAGGGGGAGGGGGGGTAGGAGATGGTTTTGAGTCACAATGGGGGGTGGTTAGGCTGCAGGTGGTTCGGTTGTCACTGTTGAAGCTTGGAGGTGCGGTGTGCGACCAAGAGTGAAAACAATCTTTCCTGTTGCGTCATGTCATGTATGGCAAGCAAATTCCCCAATGGTCGGGCTGACACCAATGTCCATGTCCCCTGTTAGAGCACCTTGCCCTGATATTATGCCCTCATCCTCTCCCTCCTCCACCACTCCTCCCCCAGACATCCAAGCGCGTGATGGGGCATTCATAGGGCACCACGACAAGAAGCTGGCGCTGCTGGGCGAGACGGGCTACGTGCTCACGCTGCTGCCACTGCAGGACCCCAACAAGTCCCCGCAGGAGCTGGAGGAGGAGGAGGAGGAGAAGGACGAGCAGCAGCGCGGTGGCGGCAAGGAGAAGGGGGGGGACGAGTCAGAGACAACATTCACGGGGTTTGGGAGTCGCTTTGATGAGGTGCAGGAGGAGGTGGAGCTGAAGCAGGCGGTTAAGGGGCAGGAGGGGCCTGTGGAGTTCACGTTTGAGACACCCGTTCACCGCGTCTTCCCCACGCCCATGGGTGCGTCCGTGCTCACACTCGATCGAGAGAGAGAGTCCTTGTGCTGGCCGGGCCGTGCAGCAGCCCGAACGTGGGAGCTTTTTGCGGATTGACTCCTCACCCCCGTAGTCCTCTTGCTATCCCTCTTCTCCCTCCTCCCTCACTCGCTCTGTCAGGCAACTCTGTTCCACCCTCCCTCCTCCCCAACCCTTGATTCCCTCCCCTCATGGTCTCCCTTCTCCTCCCCTGCTCCCCCTACGCCCTCTCACTCCATCCTTCCTGTGCGTGTTCATGTGTGGGCAGAGGACGCGCTGCTGTACGTGGCGTTGGGCAGCCACCTGGGCATGGTGAACGTGCTCGTGGATGAGTACGGGCGGCCTGCAGGCGACCTGGTGGAGGCCGACGGGCTCATGTGGCTCTCCACTCGCAAGCACGACAAGGCCCACCTGCCTCTCAAGCTTGGCGAAACTGTTCTGCAGGTGATTTCGCGCTCTCCCAACACTCGCCCACGTCTTCTGCTCTCATCCCAGTGCTGTGAAGTGCTGTGCCGTGCTGTGCTGTGCTGTGGCAGTACTGCGGCGTTAAGTATGGTGTGGTGTGATGTGATGGTTGGGGGACCCTTTTGAGTTGTGGCATGAGGATAGGATGCGTTGAGGAGAAATATGTGGGAGGTGGGAGGGAAAGAATAGGGGGGGGGGGGTTAGGGGGGTAAGCTGTGTGTGCTTCCCCTTATGTTTGCTGGGCTGGCCTGTTGTCTGCTGGCTGCATCTGCTCACAGAGCGAACTTATCCGTGCCCTACCCTTGCTGCTCTTTGGTCTGTTCTGTTTTTTCTCAATGCATGTTCGAACTTGTTGAAGTTCTTCCTTCTACACCTGTCTCCCCTCTGCCTTCTCTTTCCCGTGCCCTCCTGCTCCCGCTTCTATCATTCGTTCTCAACACCCTCCACTCCTCGCATCGCTACCCGCGAATCCCATCACCACTCCCATCTCACTCGTTGATTCGCCTCACCTCTTCACTCGGCTCTGCAACTGTGATTCTGACTTTGACTCAAAACCTCCCGTGCGTGCGCGTGTGTGGCAACAGGTGTGGTGGCAGAAGGCAGTGACAGGGCACGTGGCAGCAGTGATGACCACCATGCGTCTGCTCATAGTGGCCTCTGACCTCTCCGTGCTCGCCAGCACCACCGCCTCCTCCCGCGACTCCCACCCTCCAATATCCCACCAACACTTCCTGTCCCGACACCCCCCCTTCCCGCCCCTCCTCCTTTTCATCCCTTCTCTTGCTCTTTCTCTCTTCCCCCCACCTTCCTCCTCCCTGTCTGTAACTTTCTAATAATCTCTCTCGCCTGCGTGCTCTGTCGTCATTTTTCTTTCTTCCTTCAGCGCACCTCCCTCCCTGTCGCCTTTTTCTCCAACCCAACCCACTCCCATGTTTTCCACCCACTTCCGCTTGCTCGCGCCCCCCTCCTTCCTTTGCTGCTTTCCTTTCCCTCCTTTCCTGTGCAACCACATCCGCCTTGCACACCTTCTTTTCTCTCCCACTCCGTTTTTCCTTGACGGCTGCTCACTTCACCTCGTGTCTGTGGGTGGGCCCCGCACTGCTCTTCACTACCGACTCGGCTGTCTTCATGCTTGGCTGGGACTCTGTCGTCAGGCCCATTGTTGCCCTCAGCTCGCCCAACTCAGGTCTGCTCACTGCCCACCCACCACTTTTTCTCTGAATGTTGTGGCGTTGCTGAAGCTTCTCACTGCATGCACGCTGTTCTGGGGTCTGGAATCCTGTCTATTCTTGCAAGACGGTGCATCCTTCCTCTCTGCCGTGCCGTCCCTTTCTTCCCCACTTCCCCCCCTCTACCCCACTCCTCCCCTCCCCCACCCCCCACCCACGCGCTCTCCTCTTTGTCTCACAACATTCATTCCCACCCCCCCTCCTGACCTCCTCCCCCACTGCACATTCCGTCCCACTCCCTCCCTGCCCCATCCGCACAACCGTCCCTGCGGTACACCCCCACCGTGCGTGCAGTGCTGCTGGCAGCACTGAACGACCGGCTGGTGGTGGCAACGGGGGCGTCGGTGGCAGTGGGGCGGGTGGCGACAGTGGACGTGCAGCAGCGCCTCACAGGGCTGCTGGAGCCGCTGCTGGCGGGGTGGGTGTCGCTCGTGCACTCCCAGGGGCCGCACCCCATGCTGCACCTGCCCAAGCTCATCAGCCAGCTCATCTCCCGGTGCGTCGCCTCTGCTCTGCGCTCTGGGTGGGCCAGTGTGCTGTGCCCTCTGGGTGGGCCAGTGTGCTGCGCTCTCTGGGTGGGCGAGCGTGGTGTGGGAGGGAGCTACTGCTGACTGCTCCTTGTTGCTCCCTGTGACTCCTGTTAAGGCTCGCCATGCACCTTGTCTCCACGTGCTCTCATGCTGCACATGGGGAAAGGTGCGAGGCAGGCTGGAGCAGGCGAAGAAGTAAGGTAGGAGCAGGAACGTGGGAAAGATGGAATAGATCATGTAGCGTGTGTCTGCAGCATGTTTTGCTGCACCAGTCCGCTTTGCTGCACCCGCACCACCGCCATATCATCTGGTACTGTTGCTGCCAACGCCATTTCCCCTGCCCACGATGACCTCCCCCAGTTTCACCTGCCTCTCGCCCCCACCATCCTCTGAGTCTGCGTGCCCTCCCCCCTCGCTCCCTTGCCGGCCTGCCTCTCGACCTTGCAGCTTTGACGTCATGCGCCTCACTCCCCGCCTTGTGGAGCTGCTCAGTCGCGGGCCAACCATCTGCTGCCAGCTGGCACTTGAGCTCTCTGAAACGGGCCCACAGTTTAACTCGGTGGGTTTGGCCCTGCAGGTTATTACACCACTATGCGATTGCACCACCACGCCATTGCACCACCATGCCTTTCCGTCTACCATGCCTTGTTCAGCCTTGCTGCATGATTTTCCAATGGCGGACGTCGGCCAGCAACGCCTCCATGCGACACTGTCTCGTCCACCATTGCAATGACTTCCTTGTTTTCCCCCTTGTTCCAAAATCTCTCCACACACTCCTCCCCCCCCTCTCCTCCGCCCTTTTTCTTCTGCACACACTCTGACCCTCCATCCGTTTCTCCTTTCCCCTCCTCCTCTTCCCCTCCCACGGCTGGCGGTGTGCACCGATGTGAGCAGGAGGTGCGGGTGATGAGTGCGATGAGAGCGCGCAACTTTGACAAGGCGTTAGACATCCTCACCACCGACTTCCACCACTCCACCTCCTACCCGCGCTGCCCACCCTCCTCGCGCCTCTTTCACCGTTTCAGGCAGCTCGGCCGCCGCTGCATCACGTGAGCCTCCTCTGTTTTCCCCCATTTTACTCCCTTTCCCTCCTCCTGCCCGCTCTCCCGTCACTTCTGCTTTGAACCTCCGCTTTTCTTTCTCTTACGACTCTCACCACCTCTTGCTTCCCTCCCCCTGCCACCCCCTCCGCTCCTCCCCCGTGTCAATTCCACTACATAAATGCCAACTCTCTTGTTCATCCCGTCCCTCCACTCCACCGGACCGCACCAGATTCGCGCAGTTTGACAAGGCAAAGGCGACCTTTGAGGTGGTGGGGGACTACGAGGCCATGTACGACCTCTTCATCGCACACATGAATCCCTCCGCCCTGCGCCGCCTCGCCGCCACACTGGAAGAGAGCGAAGCACAGCCGGAGCTGGAGCGCGAGTGCATGCAGGTGCTCAAGGTGCGCTCCTCGCTCTGGAACCAGGGCGGCGTGCTCTCTGCTATTGCACAGGAGGCGCTCGCTCCCAAGCCCGCCGACTGGGCTGGCGGGAACTGGACCGTGCTTGTCGCCCCAGACCCATCTGAAGCCAAGCCTGCTGCCGGCACTGCTGCCGCTGCTGATGCTGCTGCTGCTGCTGCTGGAGCGGCAGGAGGGGCGAATGCAGGGGCAGCGGGGGCGGTTACGGCGGCGGCGGCGGCGGCAGCAGGGGGCCTGAAGCCTCAAGCGGAGATCACGCACTCGTGGACGTTTGGGAATGAGGTGACGGCGTACATGAAGACAGAGGGGGGCGCCATCCCCGTCATCATGGCGGACAGCGTGGGGGTGTACCTGGGTGTGGCCCGCGGCAAGGGCGTGGTGACAGAGATTCTCGAGATGAAGAAGGAGGAGGCGAAGAAGGAGGAGAAGAAGAAGAAAAAGAAGGCCACCGAGGCAGAGATCATGGCGGCTGCTGTTGCCAGCTTTTTGCCGGGGGCTGAGGCGGCGTCTGCAGCGGCAGGAGGGGCGGTGCCGAGAGGGGAGGAGACGGCGGAGGAGGCGCAGCAGAGGGCAGCAGCGGAGTTCAAGACGAGTATGTACGGGGCAGGGGAGGCGTTTGACAGCGACAGTGACGATGACACCATGTCCACCACGTCCCGGCGCAGCAAGTTCAGCATCAAGATCAAGGACAAGGTACCAGCGCACTGCACACCAATGCCCGTTTCTTTTTTCGAGCTGTTCCAGGCAACTGGTGTATCTTGTTGATTCTGTGAGCTTATGGATGGATACATCAACACCTTCCTATATCCTCTTATTCCAACATCTTCTCTTCTTTTCTTTCTCACCTCACCCCTTGCACCGTTTCTCAATCTCCGTCTCTATGCTTTCCTCCTGCCCACTCTCGCCTCCCCCCCCCACCCTTCCCCGTGCTCCTGCGCACCAGGACGCGCGGGCAGGAGTGGTGGACGTGGGGAGGCTCAAGGCGGCGTCCAAGACGCTCACTCTAGGCGCGCCAGCCAAGCCGCCTTCCTCCGCAGCCACAGAGGAGTTCGGGTGGCAGCAGTTCGAGTCTGACTCCTCCGGCCTCGCCATCGTGCCCTTCGGGGACGCTGCTGCTGCTGCTGCCGCCCAACCAGCAGCCAATGGCGTGCCTCCTGCTGCTGGCGGTCCCGTGTGGGCCACCCCCCCGGGGCTGGGCGCGCTGGGCATGGGGGCAGGAGGAGGCGTGCCCGCGCAGGCTGTTGCTCTGGGCTATGCCAAGCCCATGCTGCCGCCAGGGCAGCAGGGTGCTACAGGTCCGGAAGCGGGTGCTGCTGCTGCTGCAGCAGCTGCCGCCGCAGCAGCAGCGGGTGCAGGTGGAGCGGTGGGAGCAGAGGTGGTGGGGGAGAGCAAGGAGCTGTTTGGGGATGACGTTCCTTTCTCTGCTGAGCCGTCTTTCCAAGCTGCTCAACCTGCTCAGGCGGAAGCAGCAGCAGCAGGAACAGGCAAGCAACGGCCTATGCTGCCACCGCCATCCGCAGGCCCCTTGCAGATGCAACCCGCAGCCGCAGCAGCAGCAGCAGCAGCAGCAACAGCAGAGCCGGCAGCGCAGGAGGAGTTTGGGGGGTTGCTGGCAGGGACGGCAGAGGGGCAGGGCAGAGGGGAACCAGGGCAGCAGCTCAAGGTGCCGCTGCCTAAGAGTGCTGGTGGGGCGGAAGGGGCAGGTGCGAATGCTCTGCCGCCTGAGATCTCGGCACTGTCAGACGCACAGGCGGGTGGGGAGAAGGGCCCAAGCAAGGAGCAGGAAGCAGCGCGTGCTGCCATGCCCACCAAGATTCTTCCTGGCTATGTGAGTGCTGCCGCTGCTCATGCCACTGCCCTTCATGCTCATGCTGCTCTCACTACGGTGCGTGTATTCCTCTCACACCTCCTCTCACTGCATTGAACCGTCCACTTACACCACTCCACCCCCCTCCCCACTTCTCCTCCCTGGTACCCCACGCACTCTACTGGTCCAATCCGCAGGTGCCACGTGGCGCGTCGGCAGCGGTGTGTGTGAAGGTGGCGTTGGTGCATGTGGACGACAACCGGCTGGCGGACGCACTGGCGTGTGTGGACGAGGCGTTCCTGGCCATGGCCAAGGACCGCTCCCTCGGCAAGAACGTGCAAGCCCAGGCGCGCATCGCTGCCCACTACAAGATCGGCGCCACCATCCTGCAGGTGCCACGGGGAGGAGCGAGGGAATGGGGGGGAGCAGGGGGAGGTGAGGGGGGTTGGTTCTGGGTGGTGTGGATGTGGAGTGGTAGGTGCTGTGTGTGGGGGGATGGTAGTGGCTGTGGTAATGTGGATCAGGCGGGCTGGTCCTGTTGCCGCTGCTTGTTAGTGTGCCCTTGAGGTGCAGCTTCAACGAGTGAGCTTGCGCGGAGCGGCAGATGAAGCACGAGGCTTGGGAAGAATCGTGTGGTTGTAGGGCCACTGCTTTGGTTGGATGTGAGTTCAAGTGGTGGCACGTGAGAGCGGTATTGGTACACTGTGATGCAACCGCACAGTGGCATGCACACATAGACACGCTGAGCCACTGTACGAACGCACATGTGAGCAAGTTATTGAGATGCTGTACAATGCGAGCCTGTGGGCACCATTGGTGATGCACGTTGCCTGCAGCACATGGCATGCGCCCACCACTGAGCACTCGTACTATCTCTGCACCTCGTAAGCTGAAGCTTGTCCCGTTTCACTGCAACACGGCGTTCTTGATTCCGCTGCCCAACAGTGTCTTCAATCTCTTTTTTCCCATTTCCTTTCTTGCCCCCGCCTCGTTCCCTCCCCCCCGCCCCTCCTCCCTTGGGTGTTGCACTCCTGTTTCCCTGGGTGGGCGAGCAGGAGATAGTGCGGCTGCAGAAGGCGGAGGGGCAGGGCGCATTGGGAGCCAAGGAGGAGATGGCGCGTCTGGCACGGCACCTGGCGTCGCTGCCCTTGCAGCCCAAGCACCGCATCAGCTGTGCGCGGACGGCCATCCGGCGCAACATGGAGGTGCACAACTTCGCCTACTCCAACCGCCTCCTCCACGCCCTCCTCGCCAAGGCGCCTCCCAACAAACAGGCCGAGCTGCGCGCCCTCGCCAAGTGCGTGCTGGGGAGTAGGGGAGAGGGGGTGACGGGAGGAAGAGAAGTGAGGGCGGGTGGGGTTGGGACTAGGAAGTGTTGAGAGCATTCATGTGTTGGAGGCCAGGCCAGAGGTGGGTGAGGTTGGAGGGAGGAGAGGAAATGGGAGAGATTCGAAACTGCTGCAAGTGGCTGAAAGCCACAGTTTTCATGTGCACCTGCCGTTTCCCGTTGTGTTCAGTTCTTTCCTCGTTTGTGTGTTTCCAGCCCCTGTTGCTTGCCTTTGTTACTGCTGCACGCTTACACTCTCGCCCTGCATTCCACAACATGGACAATCCCCCCCACCCTCGTCCTCCCCTGCTTCAGCATCTGCATGGCGCGCGGCCTGACGGACCGTACCATCAACCGCTCAGAGGACCCGTCTCGCTTCTGTGCGGCATCACTGGCGCTGCTGCCCACCATTGGCCACGACGTGTGCGACACCTGCAATGCGTGCTTCGCTGCCCTCGCCACGCCTGGCTGCCCCATCTGCGGCATGGGCACTGTCCGGCGCTTTGACAAGGCGGGAGCGGGTGCTGCTGGTGCAGGCGGGGGTGGTGCGGCAGGGAGGGCTGCTGCTGCTGGCGGGCAGGCGGGCAGAGGGAAGGGTACGGTGACTGCGTTTGCATCACCGTTCTGAGTGCAGTCTGAGTGTGGTTTTGTTTGCACGTTCCTGGATATTTGTCTTGCTAATGTTTGCGGCTGCCTAATTTTACATGGCGTTAGCAACTTGATTGCAGAAGTGATACCGGTAAATATTTGCAGTGAAGGTGAAGCTTGCCTCAGCTGCATAAGAAACCTTGATGTCAAACTATCCAGAACTCGGTATTGCATGCACCTTCATACGATTCCTCATGCGCAGCACACATTGAACATGTACTCCTTTCCTGTAAACACTGCCCCCATGGGCACCCAATGCTGCCACGAAGACAATCTTCCCTCAGGCGCAGCACATTCCTCCCGCGCATGGGGGAGGGACGCAGTTCTTTCCACTTGAACAGAAATGGAAGCAGGATTCATGACGGCGACCGACATAGGAAACGAACTAGAAAGCATCCCGATCCACGACACCCTTCATTCATGGCAATCTAGACGGTTCGCCGATGGCCTTGGTCAGCTTCGGTCTCCTAACGCATAGGTGGAATTCGGTGGATGCTCCCCTCACCAGAAGCCACCTGTTGCTAACGTCCGCCGTCGTTGGGGTGATTTAGCAACCCAGGAGAAGTGCACGTCGCTCGTGTCCACGTCGCCTGTTTCTACTGGCTGAAGCTTTGCTTGTACTTCCCAGCGAGATGCTTTTTGACGGCTATCGGCCATGGGATGGGATGGGAGGGAGGCCTAGCGCGGCGCAAGGGCTCCCACTCGATGCGCGACGCGGCAGCATTTCAGCGACTCGAAACAGCGTGCCTGACGCAGAAGGGGGGCATTCCATGAAGTACAAAAAGTCGCGGGGACCTTTACAGGCTCCACGAATCGAAGCTGTCTCACCCTACCCGTTTCCCTTACCTCACCTGAACCACCCACCTTTACCTTCGGTTTACACTACCTCGCACAATGGCGTCGCGAATCCCCGCTGCACTGGCGGCACTGGCCGTGCTGCTCCTGTGCGTGTCGCTGCCCGCGCGCGCGGGCGCGCACAACCACAAGCGCAAGTACAACGGGCGCGTGGTCGCGCGCAACCTGGTGAGCGCCGTCTCTGGCGCGAAGAACTACTCCACGTTCCTCAACGTGCTGCGCCTCACTGGTACCGCTCACTCACTGCGTGCCACTGCTCTCACCCACCCCTGCTTGTCACGCATCAGGGCGGTCCATATGCTCTCATCTTTCGATTCGAGTCCGCTGCTGCCCAAAGCAGCAGCGCAGTATCTTGCAGAACTGCTCGTAAAGATCTGTGTTTGCTGCTAGAGTGTTGCCTCCCCTCCCGTCCCCTGCTGCTCACTCTGCTCTCGCTGCCCTCGCATCCCTCGTTGCCCTCGATACCCGGCAGGCGTGGACAAGGAGCTGCCGGGCGCGTTTGACCACTACGACGCCACCATCTTCGCCCCCACGGACGCTGCGTTCGCCGCCGTGCCCAAGGCCACGCTGAGCGCGCTGCTCAAGGACGTGCCGCTGCTGCGCGAGATCGTGCTGCTGCACATCGTCAAGGGCAAGAAGCTGGCCGCTAAGATAGTGTCGCAGGGCAAGGGCCAGGAGGTATGGTATGGCTGACTTCTGTGGACGCCCTCACTGCATTGCCTGCTTGCGGTGCTTCCTGTTGCCTCTGTTGTCCATGCTTTTTTGGTTGGAAGGCCGGTACTGGTAGCCCAACCAACACTGCATTCCTCTCAAAGCATGTGCCCCCTCTCCGTCCACCCCGTTTGCCGATTCCTCGTGCCTGTTCCTATTGTGTAGTATGAGACAGCCGCGGGCATGGGTAAGGCGAAGCTGGTGAAGGTATCGGTGCGTGGCTCTGGCAGTGTGCAAGTGCGCCCCAAAGATGGCGGAGCCACCGTGAGCGTGCACACGCCCAACGCTGTGGTGCTGCGTGCTGCTGTGGTGCACAGCGTGGCATCGGTGATTGTGCCCAAGAGCCCCAAGAAGGCCGGCAAGCAGCTCACGCTCAAGCAGTGCTTTGACGCTGCTGAGCTTGACTAGTGGATGAAATTGACTGCTGCCAGGGTACTGTGGTTGTGGGTGGGTCAATAAGTGGCCTCTACGGTTCATGCATGCATGGTATAGAACACAGCTAGATGTTCCCAATACGGTGTGGTCATACACCTCTTCTCCGATATTTCCACACCCTTTATCTTCACGACCTGGGGTACCTACCCTCGAAAAAACCGATTTCGAAGGTAGTTAGCAACGCTCGAAGAATTTTCAGGGTTAATGTAACACAATCTCAATGCGAGCTTAACGCAGGAACAATCTGGCACTGGAATTTTCCCCGCTCACTCGAACTACAAAGTTTGAGTTTCGAAAGGCCTTGACCTGGTGGTTATTTCCTGATAGACCCGCAATGTCAGGGCATCCGTCTCATCAAACCTTCAACCATGTAGGATGTCTGGGAAGAATAAAAAATTAAGGGTGTGGAAATACGGTATCGGAGAACAGGTGTACCGTATGATATCGCCGCCTCTGAACTTTGTGTGCTCTAGCTTTGTCTGAAGTGCATTCTACCTACCCGTGTTTACAGCTCTTAGCGCGTGGTGGTCCTCTACCTGTTACCAGGTGCACATTGTGCGGTTAGATGCTTTTCAGTACGATTGAATGTGAGGAGTGCGTTACAGGGTGGTTCGAAGCAAGTCTGGCATGAAGATTTCCGGGCAGGAGGCTGTGGGAACACGCCTTTACTATGTACTAGGGTAGTTACTCTACATTTGGTAAAATGTGTGCAGTTAGCAAAATACTTCACACTTTTTTAAGACTCTGGTAATCTCTGTGGTGAGCATGTGACTAGCAAAACATGTGCTCTACATCAGGTTGGGGCTGCAAGCCGTGGGAAATGATTGATTCAATGCATGCTTTAACTTCTCCTGGTACCTGACCTGTACCTGTAGCCTTCTCTGCCCTGGGGCCTTTTCTACACGTCAGCTACTATGGAGCACTGATGGCAGTTATGTCGTCGTTAGCATGTGCAAACGCCACCTGTTCAGTGCCGCCGCGCGGGAACAGGGGCAACCCGCGGAAGCGGAAGTTGACGGTGGGCAGCCGGGTGGGCACACGCGGGAACAGAGGCAGCGACGACAGGGACGGCAGGGCGGGGTGATCAATCACGCATGGCAGCTCCGGTGGCACGTCGATGGTGATGCTCGACGGCACGCCCTGCAACGGGTGCTGCAGGAACGGGAAGCACGGCGGGGGAGCAGCAGGAGCAGGTGCCGGCGCGGCGGCAGCGGCGGCGGGCGCCTGAGCGAATGCGGTCTGCGACTGGGAGTTGGTTTGAGTGACGGTGGAGGAATCCCTAGCGTCGACCGTCTGCGAGTTGCTCTGCACCTGGTTCGCTATGTTCCCGTTGTTATTGCTCTGGTCCGTGTATACGCTGTGAGGCACCGTGGGCACGGGCACGGCGGGCAGTGTAGGCAAGTCCGGCACCACCTGAGTCACGAGGTCCGCGAGGGTGTTTCCCGCCGCTGCCCTCACGGCCAAACCTGCCAGTTTTTCAGGCACACGCACGCGCAGAACGCGTTGTTAGTACGCAATCCAGACGCGAAGAAATACTGAAACACGCGATCGATAAGAGGTCAGAGAGGGGCGTTACCGATAAGAATAAGTCGAAGGAAATCCATGGAGGCGAGAAGCTGCGTGAGAACGGGGCCGATGCAGTAGCAGCTAAGCAACGAGGGCACCGAAGAGGGCCCAGTGAGCAAGGAAGTCTTGAGAGGGCGGGATGAGAACATGCGTTCACACGACATCAGCACTGCGTCGACTGGCGCCAGCATTTATAATATCATGACGTTTGCAAAACAAAGGCGGCCGAATGACCTTCAAGGGCGCCGATTGTTTCGGCGGACGTTGAGGTTGACGCCATGGCGAACACGGCGACATGATCGCTCAGGCTTGTCACCATCACGGATTTGACTGTGACATAGCGTCAGTCACGGCTGCAACGAGCTGATGTGACGGCAGCAGGCCCCCCAGGGCGTTGGGGTTTTAGGGTTGGATCGTGTGCAGCGACGATTGTGTATATGCTTATAAATTTGCGGTGTAGGTCTTCAGCGTGTGGTGGGAGAGTGTTGTTGGGAGTTGGCGAATAAGGAGGGATCGAATTTGGTCGTGTTGACTCGGTTACTCACGACTTTTGAGAGAGTTCGCGAGGTCAGAATTGCGAGCTGTCAGCAGGGTTACATTGCGGGCTGTGCTAGGTCGACCTGGTTCGTGCCAATGTAAATCGGTGCACTGACAAGCTTTGACACAGCCCCTCCAAAAGCCCCGCTCTGTGCTGGCCGGCCGACGCAGCGCACCAGTTGCCGCAAAACGTCTGTTACAGTCACGATCCAATGCAATCCACGGCAAATGCGATGCGAGCTGGGGGGGCAGGCAGGATTTGCGATCGCGGGTTTCAGGTTTGTAAACACGACGAAAATTGTGAAGTCCCGTTCGTGGAGTTCGCCAACGAAATTCGAATGCGCACTGACATCCCTTGTTCGCGATGTTCGATGAAACTCTCATCTCTCAACCAGCGGCAGACCCTGCCGTACCCTCCAGTCTCTTCACCCCGTCCACACTCCCCTCCACTCTCGCGCCGTCCGCCGACGTCCGTCATCGGTATACTCATGAAGATTGGTCGGACATCCGTCGGATGGCATCCCAAATATTATTCGCGGGACGGCTTGACGGCATGGATGTCGTTCAGAGCTTCCAGCACCCTCACATCCCCTTGGAGTGCATCTTGACGTTTTAGATTCTGGTCAGCAGTCAAGATGAAAGTGTTTGGACAACACAAAGACTGGGTGGTTTCAACCTGTGGGTGGTGCAGTGGGTCTCGGTCGGGTTTTGCCAAACAGATTTCCGTCGAGGTGCAGTAGAAAGGTATCTCTTTTTCAATCCGCCCTCATTTCGTTTCGCGCTCACAGCAAGTCATCCCTAACCTTCCTCCTCCAGCCTGGTGAGCACGACTGGCGATGAGGGTTGCTACTTCTACTGGTCATGGACAGTGACCTG